AACGTTGGAAACAAAATTAATTGCTGAGCTAAGCCCACCTTCCTCAAGAGTTTGCGCAGTAACAGGCCCATCAACCAATCCCCAACCACCTTTACAGCTTGGCAAGCTACACTGGATATAAAACTTGTATTCTGTGTATGGAGAAAGGTCATCAATGATGCGTGATTTAATGATGCGTGATTTAATGATCCATGATTCACCCCTTGAAGGTATCTGTACTGACTGAAATTCAACAAAAGGTAGAGAGAAGTTTGAGACTAGTAGTCACTAAGCTTCAAGGGGGAGAAGGAGGAAGTGAGGTCATGAAAAACAAGAGGTCATAAGGTCAAAGAAGTTGGGAGGAACAACCAGTGTTTCCAGAGGGAGGAGGAAGGAATATAAAAAAATGCTTAGGAGGTGAACAGATATTCTCTGAGGTAGCAAGTAAAAATCATCACAGAAATTTAAAATACTTTACATTTTTGCTGTGTGCAGACTATAAAGCAGCCACTGTAAAAATAAATGTAGGAAAAAAAAAAAGAGAAGTAAAATTTACCTCATTTTTCTTGTCGTTTGCAGCCGCATACCAAATTTTATAACACAACATGTCAGTATATGTTCCCATAAAAGGTGCAGGTTTCCATGAAAGTGACACAGTTCTTTTCCTAATTGCTTTGGCTGTCAGGTTTTGAGGCCTTGTACAGTGAACTTCAACAAATCAATGAGAGGCCACAGTTAGGATAATACAACAAAGTTGCAAAGTTGTGATTTAAAAAATATGATCTGACCCAAAATATGTTTAACTAGGCAATTTTTGCATGCAAATAACCAGTTGAAGGCTATTAAATAGGGATCAGAATATAATCACTACCATAGAATTGGGGCTCCAACCAATAATTTTTGATAGGCCAATAATAATAAAACTAATAATTACAAACTTTAGTTATTTATATTTAAGTTTCAATACACTATAGTTATATGAGCTATTTGGGGACAAATTATGAAATAGAACGGTACATATGTACAGTAATATAGAGGCCTTACATCAAAGTAAGAAAAATATATACATAAGTTATATATAAACAAATTAACAATTAAAATCAAATAATAAGTTACCGGTATATATGAACAAAATAAAAATTTAAATGAAATAAATAACCAACTATGCCACATTAACCCTTCCACATCCAGGTGTGACCAAAAGGGAATTTAAGCCCTGCAATAACAATACCCTTTCAAGTAGGAAAGTGATGAAAAGAAAGTAAAATAGTAACTAGAGGATATGTATATCATAAACACTATATTCTCATAGCTAAAGTCTCAGAAATTCAATGCAAAACAGTGGGGAGAATTTATATTTACATTTTAGGGGTAAATGGGTTAATCAGAGTACAACCCTTGCAGCAGGACTAGAGAATATTCTCACAGAGAAAAATTTGAAAAAAAAAAAAAAATGGAAACCTCTTACATTTAATTTCTACCCTTGAATATAAATTAGAATCAGTCTTTCCCTCTGAGAGAAATGCACCGTGCAAGACAAAATAAATCAAGGAAGAAATATTTCATTGCTGGATCCAACTATGGAAGTGGGCAAAGAGGTGGCCATGGCAGTTGTTGGTCATGGTGGGTAGTTTAAAGCCTATTCTTGCTTCATTTACAACTACAATTTTTGGTTTGGTGAGGTGCAACAGAAGTTTGTTGACCACAATTTGGCATTAAAATTGAGTTGTTCTCACAGACTTTATTTCCAGTGGTAGCCTGTTAATCTACTCCTTTTGGAGGGCTTTCATGTTTGACATTTGATCTCACTGTAGTTAGCTTTTATTGCACCTCACTCAAATGATAACCAAAATTCCCAAGGTACAACTGGTTGGTCCTCTCAGGCTAAAAGTCTGGCCACAATTGAGGATAGCATCTGAAAAGTCTTTTTTCTCAAGGAATTTGT